TCAGCATCGAACCTTTTGTTCGCGTAGTATGTAACAGCTACCTGAGCAGGAAGATAGTCAATAAACTTTGCTCGAAGCTACATGTGGGCGAGATGCAGAATGGGTAAGATGTGTCTTCTGAGCGGGCCACGTACCGAGACGAATGGTCGCTTCAAAGACTTTCAGCGCAGAACCGTCGATCGGCTCATCGTTACGCCCACTCCGGTCGTTTTTCTCATAGAAGCGAATAGCTTCCCATTTGAATCAAGAGCTTCCAGGCAGATTTTGCTGGAGAGCGATCGACGATCGGTTTGATTCGACTAGCCGATTTTTTTTGTCTGTGATCTCTGCATACCTTGCGGAACCGTCGTCGCATGGGACGCTGATCGGCGGCTTGGCCGGAAACGCTTGAAGACGCGGTTGAGTTAATTGTTTTCGAGCCATTGGAGCAGGCAGGGGAAGACGCGCTACTGGCCTGACTGGCTTAGTACAATAGTGCATCGACCTTGGGTGTTAAAATCAAATTTTTCAAAGGCCAGACGGAAAAAAGAAGCAAATAATCACTACATAGCTATGTGCTACGGAATCATACCAAAAGCAATTCTGATCTTAAGGGTGATGGAAGCTGGGGACTGTGATCGACGCGATTTTTCATGTCTTTTCTCACACTTTTTCTCTCAGCTTCAGCTTTGGTATACTATCAGCCCCCCAAACAGTCTTCAAGGGGTTTGGAGGTGTACCTTCAAGCTGTCCAATTCCTGGATTCTCTTGTCATGGCTCAAGTGGTGGGCTCACTTCAGCACTCAAGGTGCCCCAACAAAAACCTGTAAGAATGTTCCTATTGGAAAGACTCGCATGGTGGGCCACATGATAGTAGCTGCATGTAATATATCTATGCAAAGGAGATGGCGTAAAGATAATGAACTCTTGAGAGCAACGTGTGCCTCACATCAGCATTGATATTCTACCAGAAAAGATCAATGGACCATATGAAGAACGTGAAGAATACAAGGAGGGGTTGAACGGAGAGGTTGAGAAGCATGAGGAGGAGGAAGAGTGAGAGATGCTCTGTCGACGAGAAAAGCCTCTGGAAACCCAAAAGCTTTGATGTGCATGGTGGGTTACACAGTTCGACGAGGGTAGGGCCAGAAAAGTTCGCTCATCTATCTGACCAGGGCAGGTGGCTCGTAGTCACCCTTATCCTCAGTACAATCACCACACGCTGATATAACATAGTTTTAATGGGGTTTGACGACTTGTCTTTAGTTTGGCTGGTCTGTAGTGTCTTGTTCTAATTTGGAAAAGAAGAAAAAGAGAGAGCCTCACTCTGTCTGTGAGCGTTTTCCTTGATATACGGACATCCATATTCGGTGTCTCCAGCATGGGCCGCTTATAGATACAAAATCGGGACAGAGCTTGTAAGCAATCATTCACGATGGCCTTTAGGTATACATGTAGCCCAACCCAGAATGATAGTCCGGATATGCTCACTAATATAGAAGGGCCCGGTCATATAACGATCTGGGCTGATATAGGTGAAGTCTCCCACTAAGCCGGTGTCCGGTTGACTGATGTGCTTGCAAAGGAATTTAAAGCCTGTGAAGTCATCATTCAGAACGAGCGTGCGAGCGGAGAAGCGATAACAGTGATTAATTCATGAAAGCTTCCTTCGCGCTCAAGATTTAATAAATACACACTCACCCTTTGTGCAAGACCCCTCCTTACAGTTATACTTGATGTTGTCGGTGCCTATGCATGCTGCAGACAAATTTGATTTTTTTTTGTTTTTGAAGGAATGAATGAATCAGGAGATGTGACGATAGGGGGTTATAACCTCGTACGGAGAACATGATTGGTGCTTACTTGCATCCTCAGTTGAGCCTGGCACGTTGATATATTGCATATCGCAGTTATGTCGACCATTTCGTTTTTGCAGTTTTGAAAGCTGAACCGATGGCAAGAGAGTCATACAGATGACTGCATAGATGATCAACGATCTTTGGAGGCAATCTTTGAGGGACATGGTTGGCTTGCGACTGCGACTTGGGATAGATTAAAGTGACGGAAATCTGTGTGGGGTTGGGTGGTTAGAAAAAAAGTGGACGAGAGAAATAGAGCGCGTTTAAATACATTGGGTGGGTTCAACTTCAAGGTAGTCTTGTCACCGTAGTGTGGCCTTGTTTTGCCACATGCGGCCTCGGGCGTGTTGCCATCGGTATGACACATTCAAGCTGTATATAACAATAAATTCGTTGCCCAAGCTGTGGGTATCTACTATCTTGAGCACCTGAGGCCGATACATCTATGGAGCGTGATCGGGCGAGCTTGGGGAACAGGAGCGTGTCCATGGGGAGCGCTCCTGTACGAGCCCAGGGCTGACCAACGGCCTGCTGCAGCGGCGTTGTGGCATTGAGTCCAGTGAAGCGGTATAACGCCTCTACGAAACAGGCTCTGGGAGTGGGACGAGCCCAACAACAATTGGCCTCGCGGGTGAGAGCTCGGAGGGAGACAACGTACGATTGTGTTGAGTTGCTATTTATGTACGCTCTGACTGTCTAGCTTAAACAAATCCCCTCGACAGACAAGCCATCGGATCAATTGCCAGAGGGACTTAGTTAAGTTAGACTCGCGAGGGGCGCTTGCACCAGCCTGGAACAGGCCCTCCGATCGAGGGACTTGAGTTAAGTTAGGCTGATAATTGTGAGGTTTTGGTGGCCGCAAACAAACAAACAAACAACCCAGAAAGAAAGAAAAGGACAGAACATCTCATGTGTATGTACCCAGCTATATATATGAGCCATTGGTCTATACAAATGCATCAGTCTTTTGTTTTCACTTTACTGTTGTTCATCAATTGGACCCCTCCCCCCCCAAAAAAACCCCCTCTAACCTAATTAACAAAACAAAAAACAAAACCTAAAAAAAAAACTAAACAAAAAGAAGAGTCTCCAGACCAAAGCAATGTCCTTAAGGATGTATTTATCTATTTATTTACTGATTTATATGAAGAATTATTACATTACAGTATGGATAATGTATATATACGTATATGCATATCTCACATAAAAAAAAACAAAAGGACTGTAAGGTGTAAGAGGGAGTGAGGGGAAGGGTGAAAAAAAAGAGAAGAAGAATGCTTTCCGAAAGAAGAAATGAGCTTCATTCATTGATTTTTGATTCTGATGATTGATAAGAAGATCAATGGAATGAATGAGGAGTAGGAGAGACGGAAGGCAAGATATGATCGAAGGGCATCGTAGAAGACGCATAACGATCCTGCACCTCATCGTCATGATGAGTAGAATGGTTGATTGCGAGAGATTTGGAGAGATGAAAGGCCGGCCCGGAGGAGACATGACGAGGGGAGATGAGATGAGTTAAAGCAGGATTCGAATTCGAGTGAGGAGGAGGAGGAGCGAAGGGGAGATGGTCGTTGAAATGGTTGGAGAAGGCGCGTCGAGGGGAGGTCGTACTACCAGTAGCCGAGCGACAGGGCGAGAGTCTTCTGGCGATGGCCGAGGCGCCGATCGGAGATGAGGGGGGAGAATTGGAGCCGAGCAGGACGACGGGCGAGTGGGGAGAATGGTTGAAGGCCGGCGAGGAGGGACAGGATTGGTGGGGGTTTGGGCTTCCGAGGAGTCCTTCGTTCGGCCGCGAGCTCGTCCGTCCGCCTCCGCCTCCTCCCGCATTGCTCACCACCCGTGGGATCGTCTTCATGCAGTTCTGGATCATCCCCTTCAGCATCGATGGCGGTCGGGGAGTGCTTAGTTGGATCGGCCCTGTCGGATGCAGGTCACTCGCATCGTACACCAAGTCTTGTGCCTCCTTCGATGAGGTCGGTGTTGGTGGCTGGGCGGAAATCATCGGCTGGCTCATCGAAAGATCTATACACAGAAAGAATTCCCCTTGAGTGGCCATCTCGTAAATGTTGTACTGATAAACAAGATGGGCTTCTTCCACTGACCGATGCAATTAGGCAACACGTTATCGCTGGCGCTGAGACTTAGGAATAGGAAGAAGGGGACCATCCAGACACATAGAGCAAACTGATGGGAAAAAAACATAATAAGCTTCAAGTAAAACAGAAAGAGAGAGAGAGGCAACTGACGAAGGTAGTGATATCGATAAAAGTTAATTGGTCAGGCAGTCTAGTAGGATTGGAGGAGAACCAAGACTGGGGGGAGGGGCGATGATGGTGGTGAGAGACGCGATCGGCGAAGTAGAAGAACCAGGCGAAATGGTCGATGATGACGAGACAGCAGCTGGAGATGAAGGAGGGCGAGGTGAGTGAGATGGAGGGCCAGGCGCGGGAGAAGTTGGAGAGATAGACCGAGTGGGAGAGGATGCCGAGCAGGGTGAGTGAGAGGGGTAGGCCATCGGAGAGATAGAAGGCCAGATGGAGGATGATGATAAGCTGTGATGTTATGGGGGTTGGATAGATCAGTTTGAATTTTAGTGTTCGGTGTGTTTGTTCTGGTGTGGATTGATAAGGTGAATATATCGAGGGTGGTCCCCTGGGGCTGAGTGAAGTTGATTGATGATTGATGGTGGTGATATATGTGATACAGTATAATAAGATGAGTGGCTTTTTGAGTATGTACTGACCTGGATGAGCTGTTTGCCGAAGCGCTTGGCAGTCTGAGTGTTTTCTTCGATGATCTCGGCGAGATAGAGCAAGCCACTGGCTGAGGAAGGAATACATAACGATCAGCAGATGATCAGAAAGAGTGTGGATTGAGTGTGTTAGATTGGCTGACCAAGACAGAGGGTGACAAAGGCGATGGCCAGTAGGCCGACGAGGAACGAGATCAGGTGGAGGAGTAACATCGCTTGGCAGTGGTTGGTTTGTGCAGGATGAAGTGAGAGTGAAGAGTGTGGTTTGTTGAGGTTTGATTAATCTCTCATCGAGTTCTTGGGGTCTTCCTCTTGATGATCTGACTGTTCTCGATCTTCTTCATCAACCAGCAGCAGTCGCAGTTTGGCCGGTGATCAGTGCAGCTCGTATCTATTTGTGAGTCTCTGAAGGCCGAGGGGGGGATCCTGATTGTGTTGTTGTTGTTGTTGTTGTTGTTCTGGTTTGGCTGTTTCAGGGTGATAAGACCATTCGTCGACAGGATCAAGGACAATCAGCTTCTCAAACTTGATCACTCCTCAAGATAATTAGCCAACTCCGGTCTCAACAAGCACACTTGATTCTCAATCACACCTTAAGAGTCCCTTTTGTTGAGCAGGAGATCATCGACTTCCATTCTAGGAAACAAAAAAAAATACTATTCAAAAAAGAATGGTACATAAAATGTGCAGTAGTCTTCATTCGAACTTCCAAACAACCTCCCCCCCTGGCCCATCAATGGAACGCATACCTTGAGACTTCAAGATCATAAAACAAAATGAAACAAAGCAAAAAAGAAACACATCCCCTGGAAAACTCGCCCATAGTTACCAGCCCACCTGTTTCGTGTCTCATCCCGCCCCGGCAATTTATCAGCCTCACCTCCATGAACTTGGCTTCCCTCAAATCCACCTGCTGTAGTACTGGACCAGGCTCCACCAGCCTGCACTTGCAAGACCTCCACTCCCAACCTCCACAGAAGAAAAAAAAATGGATTGAAAATCAATTAACTGAGCTCCAATCCATCTTTGATCCTTTTAACTTAATGCATACACATCATCAGAACTGATAAACAACGAATCAAGATGCAGCAGTGAAAGAAAACACAGAACTCTGGGAATACAGGGAGGTCAGAAGACGCATTCAAATCTATCAAAACATCATCAAGCCTCACGAGATAAAAGAGAGTGAAAGTTGCAATTCTCAATGAAAGATGAGGTTCCTAGATTCAATACTCTTTCTAAAGAAAAAAAAATGAAAACTTCACTCTGAATTGTTTGGAGAAGAACATCAATTAACATTCCCCCCCCAACCTATTACAAAAAAAAAAAAAACAGAAATCAATAAATAAACATGATGTAAATCCTGAGGGAAAAAACAACTGAGTGGTTGACATTTCTAATCTGCTGATCACATACACAGAACCAATCAACATGACTTCACACCCTCCTCTTCTTTCCTACCCATCACTCACCAGTTTTCTTGTTCCAGTTATCATTTCTCTCCACAAATTGATGTTTGTTGATTGATTTGCTCCTATATTAGCACATCTTGAGATGAGACTGTATGGTATTGAAACTATGCTGACTTGAATAAGTGAGCTACTGAGCAGATATGAAAGACCAATGGGGCACAATGAGCTGAGATTAAGAGTAGAGAGAGAAAGAGCAGAAAGGCAGAAAGAAGAGACAAGCACCTGCGGATGGTGCGGGCAGACAAATGGACTAACAAATGAGTGAGGAAAGAGAAAGAAAAATACAAGCTCCCCTCACTAAGCCCTTTGATGTTGTCTGCATGGTTCTCCGCCTTGCTTCATCTTCACAGCAAAGAGATACACATCCTGGAGCTTGCCAACTCAACAATGCACATCATGGTTTTTTTTTTTCTTCTTCATGAGAGACTTATCTAATGGGATTTGATTTCTTACTGGATAGGTCTTGATGAAAAGATGGTACACTACAATGTGGTGTTCAAACAGACATATAAGCACCCCTAATTGATGATCACCAACAATTCTAAATAATCTGGAAACCCTTAGAATTGATCAAAGAGCCCCATCCTCAAATTCACAATTAATAATTTGCTCTCATGATCAACCAAAATGAAGCCACTGATTAGGAGACTATCAGTGAAGAAAACTACATCTATACAAGAAAGTGGAAGATTTCCATCACATTACAATTATTTCTCCTCTTTCCCAGTCAGATTATCCACCTCAAAAGACATGTGGATACCTTTAAATTATGTAGAGGTTGTTGGGGGGTGATAATTGCAAGCCAACCACCATGCGCACGCAAGGCCAGATTGCGTCCCGCCCTGCCCGCATCTGCTGCAAGCGGAGATTGGCGTGGAGTTGGCATGCAGGCCTGCACACCAAACTGGGTCCTAAACCCATATGTATATGGTTTTAGGACCAGGGCTATCCCATGGGACCCAGGCCTGGGTCCTAGGGGATAGCCCAGAGTTTAATTTTTAATTTTTAATTTTCAAGAAAAAAAAAAAAGAATAGCTTGTCGGGAGGTGTTCCTCCCCGCGAGTCGGTAATTAAACCAGCTCGTCGGAAGGAATCCCTTCCGAGGAGCTGGTGTACACAACAGCTCGTCGGGAGGGTTTTCTCCCGACGAGCTGGTCTACACACCAGCCCGTCGGGAGGGGTTCCTTATTAGACACTAAAGTCTTTGATGGTGATAGAGCAACGTTAGGCACAAGCTAATACGAGCGGTGACAACGGAGCGATGAGGCAAACCTTTGATGGTGATAGAGCAACGTTAGGCACAAGCTAATACAAGCGGTGACAACGGAGCGATGAGGCAAACCTAAACCAGACAGGTTGAGGCAAAGCGAACGGTGTGAGTAGTGAACAAGTTGAGATGGTTGAATTACTAGTGCTGGCACACCTTTGATGGTGATAGAGCAACGTTAGGCACAAGCTAATACGAGCGGTGACAACGGAGCGATGAGGCAAACCTAAGACCAAGACACTAGATATGAGATCAATGAAACTTGAGAAAGAGAAAGAGAGAGAAACAGAAAAAAGGACCTAAACCAGACAGGTTGAGGCAAAGCAAACGGTGTGAGTAGTGAACAAGTTGAGATGGTTAGAGAACCAATACAAGAGAAGCTAACTATCGGTCTTATAACAGGATCAACTAGGTTTACTGCGCAACAGCCGCGAGCTAAAGGTTGTCTATCTAACTAGGGTTAATATGCACTAATCAAGGAAGAAAAGACAACATGAATAAGGTGAAACCTGGAAGTTCAACATCCCCCCTCCTTTTTTAGCTTTCTAACTCTGAAATTTTCATCTTGAGGAAGTTAATCATATCCTGATGCTTCGATTTGGCGAGTGATTTGGTGAGACCGTCAGCCGGCATGTCGTTTGTCGAGACGTACTTGATGTCCACCCAGTTCTTTTCAGCCGCCTCCCTGATGAAATGATACTTGACGCCGATATGCTTCGTCCGATGATTGGCGAGTGGATTTTTGGATAGAGCAATTGAAGCTTGGTTATCGCAGAAGACCAAGATTGGAAAGATGGAAGTACCAGTTATTGATTGAACCAGATCGTTGAGCCAGATTGCCTCTTGCACCCCATCGTAGAGAGAGCGATACTCCGCCTCAGTAGTGGAAGAGGAGACCGAAGATTGTTTCTTTGCCTTCCACGCCAGAATCGAATCACCCCATGTTACAAGATAGCCGGAGTAAGATCGCCTAGAGTCTTCACAATTTGCCCAGTCCGCGTCGGTGTAAATTCGAAAGATTCCGTCCCCTCCCCCTATCCTCACGGAAAGTTCTTTCGTTCTTGAGAGATATCTGAGAAGGTGGAGATACGCCTGCCAATGCTTGATTCCGGGTTTTTCAAGGTGTTGGGAGAGTTGAGAAACCGCAAATGAAATGTCAGGACGAGTTGCACATGAAATATAATTTATTGAACCAACCGCTCTGCGATAGCTGACCCCTAACTCGTCAAATCGTTCTATTTCTTGCGGCGTTGCTTCAACGAGGCGGGTGTTTGGGACCATGGGAGTTGAAACTGGGCAACATGACAGAAGATTATATTCTTTCAAGAGCTTGTCGATATGCCTTTCTTGTGAGAGGGTGAGATGGTCTTCATGGCGTGTGATCTTCATTCCGAGAAGAGAGCTTGCAGGACCGAGATCGTCCATCAGAAAACGATTATTGACAAGACGTTTGAATCTGTCCACGTCTTTGCTGATGATGGCCATGTCATCCACATAGACATGAACCAGACATTTCCATTCCGGATCGGCTGACACGAACAGACAAGGATCGGCGACAGACGGGACGAAGCTGATGGACTCAAAGAAGGAAGCGAGCTCCCCGTACCACACTCGAGGAGCCTGTTTCAACCCGTAGATGGATTTCTTCAGCTTTAGACAGTGTCCAGAAGGGATTGTAAGACCGGCCGGACAGCGAAGATAAATTACCTCGTCAAGAACCCCGTTGAGACATGCGTTGCGGACATCCATCTGATGAATGTCAAGCCCTTCGTTAACCCCAATTGTTAAGGCTGCTCGGAGAGCCGAAGAACGGCCAGTCGGTGCGTAGGTCTCATTGAAGTCGATGCCTTCTTTTTGAGCGCTGCCTTGCGCGACGAGTCAAGCTTTGAATTTGACCAGATTGCCGCTGGCGTCGTATTTCTTCCGAAAAACCCACAACGACCCAAGAAGGTGATGATCCTTAGGAATGGGAACAACCTCCCATACATCTAGTCGCTCCATAGCAGCCAGTTCGACAGCCACCGCCTCCATCCAGGATGATGATTCAGGTGAGAGCAAGGCGGACTTGTAGGTTTTAGGGGTGGAGGGATGGGGATCGATTTCCGATACCGACATGGCAAAGATCGCTTCGTAGAAGGGTTCGGCGGTGAGAGTGATTAGCGAGTGAGGACGCTGCCTACGATGATGATGATGTTATCGGCGTTGATGTCGATGAATGTGCAGGAGGAAGCGGTTGATCAGCCGGCACATAGAGAAGCCGGCTAAGGGTTGAAGAAGATGAGACTGCCGGGATCAAGTCCCTGCTGCAAGTTTCGTCTGCTGCGAAGTCAAAGGTTTCCTCGGAAGCAACAGACTCATTGGAACAACTTGAAATATTCAAAGTTTCAGTGGAGAAAGTAGGTACTGCGGGTGCGGAAGAGGACTCATCCTCCTCCTCCTCTACAAGGGTGAAGTTGGAGGGATTGGCAAGGGAGCCGGGGGAGATTCTTGGAAATATAGCCTCGTCGAACACGACATCATGGCTGTACTCAACCCGGTTCCCCGCTGTGAGTATCCTCCAGTTGGGAATACCCTGCCGATAGCCCAACAAAATACCCCTTTTGGAGGTATCACCAAATTTCCCATCCCTTCGCTCTTTCGGAATGTTGACGTAAGCGCGGCACCCGAATGCTCGGAGTCGGGAAACATTAAAGTTAAATCCGAACCAAAGAAGATGAGGAGTAGACCACTTAAGGCGTTTCATGGGAGTTATATTTTCATAGAAAACCGCTGTGTGCACGGCCTCTCCCCAGAGAGAAGAAGGTAGGTTCGCTTGCTTGAGCATAGATCTGGATTTTTCGCTGGTTGT